GGCCTTTGATGGGTCTGCACTTGGTTCTGCTTTCTCTGTTTCGGTCGCGCCTTGTTTCTTCGACTTGCAGGCTCACGTAAAGCCTTAACTTCCTTCACAACGAGCGAGAGACGACGTGACGGCCCCCCCAAGTCCCTATTCTCTATTCTTCTTTGATTCCAGGGCGCAGGAGGGGCGACTACTGGCCTGTCTGTTGCCTGCTCCGGACAAGCGACGGGGGAGGTACTACCAACGCGCATCAGGCAGGTAGGCACCTGTCTCGCTCGGTCACAAGCACCGGCGACCTATCTAGACGAGAAGAAGTCAAGCTCGATCGACGGAACCATATCATGGCTGTCCGACGGGGCAGCTCCAGGTTGGCATCCGTGCCCGTGACGACAAAGATGGTTGCCATGGTGCTCGTCGTGATGCTCGCGCAAAGCTATGTCGCCCAAGCTCAGTGGTGGCGCATATTGCCGAAAGTCCTGAGAATCCTTTATAGTGTTTATAAAGCCAAGAACATAAAGACTGCTAGAGATGTTTTCAACTGGGAAACGGTGAAGGCACTCATTGACGCTCTGCAAACCGAACTCGACGATTACGATAGGAACCTCCTCACCTTCGGCGACACCGACACTCCGATTGCGTCGACATTCACGGGGGGAGAATGTCTGGGCGTTGTGCAAAGTGTGGACATTCCCGACCAAACGCAATGGTGGGGGCGAGGTTGGTGCGAAGGCAGTGAGGTGAGGTTAGACTACTGCCAAAAGGCGTGTGATGACGTGGCCACGAAGAGTGGAAGCCGCTACATGCAGCCGGTGCAGCACAATTTCTCGTGTGTCAGTACCGAAGCGAATACTTGCAGGTGCGATGTCTGTCTCTACAAAGTCGCGGGCTAGAGAGGCTGAAAAAAACTGCCTGTCTTATAAAAAGTAAAGTCGCTTGCGATTGGGCCTTTGATTACAGAACGATTGTCTGTATGTAATGTGCGAACGGGGCCGGTAGGGTTAATACGTGATCTTCCGTCAGTTGGCGCTCCGTATTCGAGGGGATCGACAAGGTGGTAGTCCTGCTGACCCGGGGTGGGGATACGTAATATTCGATTTCTGTAGTTTGCCCTTCCACTTCAATATNCCCCTCGTTTGTTGTCCTCTTCTCCCTCTCTGCCTACGGTTTACCGGGCAGTTCTATTTGACGATATATATATATATATATATCGTCAAATAGAACTGCCCGGTATATATATATATTTGACGATATATATATATATATATATAGCTTGATGATAATAGGTTCACCTGCAATGAGTGGATATGCTTTTTTAAATGTTATTGTTGAAGCTAGTTATATGCCTTTTATCTATCTGTCATGTAAAGATTTATTTTCTCTTTGTAATAAAGAAAATACTTGTAAAGAATATATAATAGATAGTAAATAATATATATATTGTTATATGAGAATATGTTAGATATATCCATATATTGTTAGATATATATATATTATATTGTAATTATATTAATCATAAATAAATTAACTATATTGTATATTCTTATTTTACAGTATATTCAATATTTTCATTAAACAGATACTTGCTAATGATTCATCAAATATATATATATATTTCTAGTATTGAAAATGCGGAAATGACACAGATAGTCCTTTCGGAAGTATGTTGCCCCACGCTGCCACTCAAACTGCTCCTGCCTTTACGTAACAACCATACAAAAAGGCCTGCAATCTCTCTCTCTCTCTCTCTCTCTCTCTCTCTCTCTCTCTCTCTCTCTCTCTCTCTCTCTTATGATTGAATGATTTCCCTATTAGTTTAGTTGAGTGGTAAAGCACTAAGCGGTGTCGATCGGGAGTTACGTTTTTTACGTCTCTTGTTTTGCCTGCTGATCGGAATACCGAGAACTCCCATGTGATCCCTCAAACGAACACGACATATCTGGGGTCTGTGGTGCTAGGACGAAATAGAAGCAGGCTGCAGGAGCGAAGATGGGAGATTTACAGAGAATGATGAAAGAGGGGTGTATGGTCTGCTAGGGACGTGCTTCCCAGGGACGGAGGTCTCTAGATGTGCATTGCAGTTGGCTTTCGAGGCAAAGATTTCGAGTTGACAACGAGAGCAAGATTTCTAGGTGGGAGATGGCAGTTCTCACTCACCTCCTCTTTTTGAGTTTTCGGAGTATGAAGAGGGATGTATTCAGCACATCATGTTTCATAATCGAAGCTTATTGTTTACTTCATAATCGCGTGCAGCGTTTGCTGGGATCTTTGCTGTGAGTCTCGTTTCTTTTTCCTCGCCTTTAGGAAACCTGGGCTACGAACATTTGAATTGGGACAAGACAAGACGACTGAACACCATGATGGTTATGACTTGGTGCATTGTTTGATTTGAGCATTTCGTGATGGTCAGTCGCCTGCTCGACTCCTCTCCTCCTTCTGCTCTCCTCTCAGTACACACCTGTGACACCTCTGCATGTGACAATCTCGTGGGATTTGGTAAACCTGCATTATCCAGCCCGCAATTCGTTGCTGGGCAAGCCCCACTCGAACTCAATGGACCCACGGTCGAAGCCTCGTGATGTTGGTGGTCTTTAACATCAGGCGGGGTATTGCCGCTTTCGATTGGCACGGATCGGGAGCAGACAAACGTCTAGAACAGCAAAAAGAAGACTGTCACAAAAAGAACACTATGCTCATCCGCTACAAGAAGCCAGAGGTGCAGAGGTCAAGGTGGGACCGTGGGGGAAGGGATGGCAGGCTGCCATCGAGCTCGTGGCAGGGGAACATAGACAGGACTGCACGCTCCCGTCATCGGTCATACCTGCTCCCCTCGTCATTAGTCCCGTCTAAACAACTCACACTCCACACTGAACACCACAAACGGTCTTCTGTGACAAGAGTGTCAGATATTGACTTTTACAAAAGACCTTTGGATTCACAGTTACAAAAAAACTGTTGGGGTTTACTCTGATTTTGGAGGTTTTCTGCGAAACATTGGAATCTGGATAATTGCATATAAATTATCACAAAAGGTGATTCCGGGCCCCAATCAAACAACTTCATAATTACAACAACTCATGAGTTCTCAAGAGGCTCTGCTGTCAGAGTTCTTGAAAGTTGAAACAACATAAAACCTATGAGAATTCCAAATAAATAGGATGACACACTACCACTTTCTTTATATTTTAAGCTTTGACCACCTAACAGAGTAGAAATTTCAGTCAAATTCACCACCCCATCAACTGGCCAGTGATCTAAATAAAACAAAAAGTTGAGAGAGATTACGAGTTCCATTTATAAACAAGAAATTATATAAAACTTTAATATACAACTTCGAAACTAGGCCACAAGCCGGGCCGCCCGGGTCACCCTATTTTCCCGGACGGCACGGCCATGCAAAAGACCTAGGGAAGGTCCTAGCAAAAAAAAACAAAAACAACAATTCAAAAAACTCCGAAAAAAAACTATGTTATGCAGAAAAATAAACTGAACAAGTTTGCCTCAGGGTCACATCGAAATTCTTTCCCACATTTAAAACAAAAAATAAAGTAAAAAATATATATATATATTTTTTTTTTGGCCCGGCCGGGCAACTGGCCCCCGGGCCACAAAGGAAAAAAAATGATAAAACTCAAAGTAGATTTTCTTCAAGGACCTTTTGAAAAACACAAAAAAGGCGTGAGATAAAGAGTAGCTGCTGGAAACATTGGTATTGAAAATCTTAAAAAAACATTAAGTTCCCAATTGTAAGAGAATTCCCTCTAAGATAACAGATCCAGCGGTGGGTGCTTCTACATGAGCTTCAGGTAACCAAATATGAACTGGTATCCTAGGACTGCAAAAGACGCAAAAAAAGCAATCCATAGCAAACCGTTCACCAAATTTCTCCGGCGTGCTTCTTTAAATTTGAACTTAGTGCGATATTTAAGCGCTAAGGTCAATGCACAAGATTCCACTGTGTCGGGCATGCCACAAAGGTTACTCAGGTTGGAGAGTTGTGAGATGGCCCAGATGGGCGACCATCTCGCTCGGTTTGGAGAGCAGTTGTTACGGCTGAATATTGACATCAAGATGCAAGAACAACCTCGCACACAAAAAAGTTAGCACAGTGTCACACAGAACACCACATGCACTCCGCGGTGCCAGAGTCTCAGATGTCTATCTTGAGACAGACTTACAAAACATGTGTGTGACACTGAACTCATGCCGCACAGAGAGTCCTTCGTGCCTTAAATTCGGGGAGTTAAAATTGAAATATTTTCCTGGCGTGACGAAATTGAGCTTTGAAGGGTGTAACAGTTGTGATTTGATCATGATCCTCCAATGAGTGAACTGACCATGTTGTGGTTTAATCATCATCCAATGAACATATGCTAGTACGTCGAAAGGTACGGTGTCCGCGGTACATTCAAAATCTGGCCCAAATCGCTGAAAAAAAAAACTTCATTTCATCACACCAGCACAATATTTCAATTTTAACTAAAAGGTTAGGCTGTTTTTTTGGGTGCCCGGGCAGCCAACTTATGCCCAGGTACATGCCCGGGTTCCTGGCTGACCCCTGCGCCCAAAAAAAAAAAAAAAAAAAAAAAAAAAAAAAAAAAGTCAAACAAATCATGAAAAAAAAATGTTGTCTAGAATTGAAAGACAAACTACTTTTGGCTGAGGGTCTTATTATGATTCCTCACAGAATCGGAGATAAAAAAGAAAATAACAGAATCACACAAAGACACCCCCCTTTAAACCCCTTTAGCCCCTTTAAAAACAATTTATACCCCCCTCCCCCCCCTTGACAGCCAACTCGCAAAACACGAAATGAGCCCGGATTTGGAGTCCTCTGGGAGAGCGCAGAAAACCAAAAAAAAAAAAAAAAAAGTCTTGTTCTTTTTTTCTTTTTCTTTTGCACTCCCCGGCACGTCACGCCTGGGTGCCCAGCCGGACGTGAAAACAACTGTCCAGACCACATCCAGTGACTCTGTCCCGTGCAGGCAAGTCCAGATGGAGGAAACACCTAGAAAATTAATATGGAATGTTCATTCCCCTCTAGACAAGTCCAGGTTCATCCAATCCCCGAATGGCAATACATGGAGGAAGCTGTGTTGCTAGCTGCTCTGTGCTGGAGGCATGGTCTCTAGGTCAACGTCCAATGTGCAGTAATGCCTTGGCCGCTCCACAATGTGGCAGAAATTACCATGTTACGTACAATGTCATCCACTCTGAAAGCCAGCAGATGCAACAGCGATGCCAATCCATCAGTTGGTAAGCCATCCAAAGAGTGCCTGATGGAACCTCGTAGGGTCTTGGATCTGTGGTACATGTCCCATGTCTGCAAACTCGATGAGTTGTCCGTTTGGGATCATTTGCATGACCTGCTTGCCCAGTACATCGTAGTGGCCAAGCTTGGCCTGGACATCAGGCGGCGACCACTGCTTGCCGATGGCTGTGGTGTCCTTTGCTCCATTGATCAGAAGAGTTTGTGGCTTCAGCAGACCAAACTCGTAGATGACGGGTTGGGTCAGGACCATGTCGACAACGAGCGCCTGGTTCATATAGAACTGGGCTGCCTTGCTTCCCTTGTAGATGTTGAGGAGCATTCTCACCCAGACGTCATAGGCAGGAATCCACTGGCCGAGATAGTATGTTGCTTGTTGATAGCCGCGGATTGATTCGTGGCTGCTTGCAGCCTCGGAGGCATAGTTGAGATCGATGCACCGGTAGGGGACACCCAGAGCCTTCCAATCCTCGAGGCCGATCGGGTTCACCATCACCAGCTTGTTGACGATATCTGGGTACATCAATGCATAGCGCGCCGCCAGCATACCCCCCATGTGACGAACTACTTCCCGACCCCGTCCTATCTTTCGTACCCCTCTGGCTTATATTTTTCTGTGTATCATATCGGCCCAACAAAAACCCCGTTCGTTTTCTTGATTTTGGGCGCCGCGTTTGAGGCCCCCCCTTTCTTTTGCGGAAGCTCTATTGATTCTTGGAATTCTGCTTTTTGTAATTCGGGAAATGCATGGGAATTTACGTGCGCCTCAGCGAGCGCACTGGGAATTGGGCCCGGCAGTTGGGAATTCCGGGATAAGCGGAAATTCGACATGTCCTTTTTGTACATGAATGTTCTCGGTCGCGTCGGAGAAAGCTCTAGGAATTTTGTGAGAATACGGGTAGGCGTACAATTCTCTTTTCCCACGTCGACTTTCGCGCGCGGATATGGTGATTTCAATTTTGAATTGGTTTAGGACATAGGCAAGCTGTAACTGTTATGGTGCCTTTTTCTGCAGTTTCCAGCGCCGTGCATGCAAGCTTCCTCCCCCCTATTTCCCGCATC